GCTGATGGAGTTCTAGGCACATGCCCATGAAATAGGCCCATTGATTTAAAAATAAAAATTTCACACACTACTGTTAGGGTTTCCACCTGGCTGGTATTTTACTGGCACAGCCAGTATTTGAGGCTGCCTGGCCGGTGCCGATATTGCAGTCATACTGGCAATACAAATGCTGGTATTTTTCTCAGTATAAACAGAGATTATGATGCAATACCAGCACTGGCCAGCAGTGGTCGCTGTGTGTGTGGAGAGAGGCAGGGATAGGAAGTTCCAGCATATCCCTCCATGCCTATCTCTAATTACTGATCCGCAGGGAAGCAGCTACAGAGAGTCCAGACAGCAACTCCAACACTGCAGAGACATCCTACAGCTTAGGGAAGTGATGGATGGGGGAAAGGCTGGAGACATGGGGGCAATTGGAGATATGGGGACACTGAGACACTGGGGGCAATTGGAGATATGGGGACACTGGGAGACATTATGACACAGACATTTGGGAACATAGAGACACTTGGGGACACTGGGAGACATGGGGACACTGAAACACTAGGGACACAGTGTCCCCATGTATCCCAGTCAGTGACTCTAGTGTCTCAGTGCCCCCATGTCTTCAAGTGTCCCCTAGTTTCACAGTGTCCTCTAGTCTCCCAGTGTCCCCATGTGTCCCAGCCAGTGTCTCTAGTGTCTCAGTGCCCCAATGTACCTCAGTGTCCCTGGTGTCTCAGTGTCCCAGTGTCCCTAGTGTCCCAGTGTCCCTAGTGTCCCAGTGTCTCAGTGTCCCTAGTGTCTCAGTGTCCCTAGTGTCTGTGTCCCCATGTCTCCCAGAGCCCCAAGTGTCTCAATGTCCCCATGTCTCCCAGGCAGTGTCCCTAGTGTATCAGTGTCCCTGGTGTTTCAGTATCTCCATGTCTTCAAGGGTCCCCTAGTCTCCCAGTGTCCCCATGTGTCTAAGCCAGTGTCCCCTAGTCTCCCAGTTTCCCGTAGTCTCCCAGTGTCCCTGGTGTCTCAGTGTCCCCAATCTCTCAGTGTCCCTGGTGTCTGTGTCCCCATGTCTCTCAGGCAGTGAGGCAGTATTCCCATGCCTCACAGTGTCCCCATGTCTCTCAGTGTTCCTAGTGTCCTATTGACATGGGGACCCTGGGAGACATAGGGACACAGACACCAGGGGACACTGGGCGACATAGGAATACTGGGGGACATGGGGACACAAGAGGACACTGGGAGACATGGGGAATTGAGACACTGGGATACATAGGGTCACTGGGAGACCTGGGGACATGACAGGGGACACTAAGACATGGTGAAATTGGACGACTAGGGGACACTGTGAGACATGGGGCACTGAGACACCGTGATACATAGGGACACTGTGAGACCTGGAGTAATCGACACTAGGGGACACTAAGTCATGAGGGCACTGGGAGACATGGGGACACTGATACATAGGGACACTAAGACAGGGGAGACTTAAGACACTGGGGGACAGGGAGACACTGGGAGCAATCCATCTATACAGCAAAATCAAACTGTACGTAGTTTTTTTGTGATTTTACAGCATTTTCTCGTATGTCACTCGTGATTTACATAATGTGATAACAAACATACATAATTAATTATGCAAATTAGTAAGGCGGTATATGTTTCCAAGAAGCGTGGCAACTCTAACTACTTTTCACATACTCTTGCTTAAGTATAGAAACTTAAGAGGGATGTATGGGAACAAAACTTGTGTGGACTGGTTGACAATGAAATTAGTTAAGGTAATGCTGACTTTGGTCTCTCTAACACTGTGGCATGTTCCCTTTCTTCTACACTCACTACATACAGATTTTCTCTGTCCCATACTATATACCGGGAGCTTCTGTCTCCTAGTAAGGAGACAAGTGGACCAGCGAGTGCTAGGGGACAGTCCTTAGCGAGCGTTGAGCGAGTGCATCATTTGATGCATTTATGCCAAGCTCAGGGTGCTGCCTGCATAGTATGCCCTTAGTTGGACAGCCTGCATGATTGGCTGGCAGCCTGACATGCATTCGTGCCAGGCTGGCCTTCCAATTCTTTGGGCAGACATGCCCCCTTTTTGGGCATGTTCGTCCCTTTTGGCAGGTTTCATGATTTGCGTCACGGCACACCCTTTTACCCCGTTCATTAACTGCCTGCTTCATTAGACACTGCTGTTAGGGGTTATGGATATACTTGAAAGATGAAAACATAAATTTAGAGGGAGATTAGCATAGAGTGTGTGTTTTCTTATAGCTGCTGTTTTCTTTCCCTTCAGCACCATCTCCATCAGATACATGATGCTTGTGTTTTAGGTCGATAAGATTCTGTAATTAGGCCCATCATAATTGCCAGCACCAGGCCCACTGGGCTCTTAATCTGGCCCCGCATGTGTTATATAATTGATCCATTGCCTTACCATTATGTTGATTGGATACTTTATGTTAAAATAAGACACTATACCATTCCTGTCATTGTTAATTGCGTGTCATTCATAAATAAAGATTTTTTTATTTTTTTTAAAGTGGAGTTATAATATGTTACAAAACTGCAGGTACAGCACTGGTGATAAATAAAAAGCAACAGGACAAAAGGACACTTCAGTGTTAGGAATACAGCTTACAGTATTCCTAATATCAGGCCCGGACTGGCCATCGGGCATACCGGGCAAATGCCCGGTGGGCCGCGATGGCCGTGGGGCCGAGGCCGGCAGGGAGATCACAGGATCTCCCCGGCCGGCCCCTGCAGGGCCGGCGCTATCCGAGCGCCGGCCCTGCTATGTGCCTCCATGGGCCGGTGGGGAGATCACAGATCTCCCTCACCGGCCCACAGACAGGGAGATGCGGCCGCCAGCTGGGGAGGGAGGCAGGAGAGAGGACCGGCGGAGCTCTAACAAGCAGCTCCGCCGGGTCCTCTCGCGGGATTCTGAGCGTTGCCACTCTCACCACTGGACCACCAGGGAAGCATAACAGCATGGCTCCACCCCACCCACCAGGCAGAACGGATCTCCTCCCCCTAATGTATAGTTGTATGAGGGGGATTATAACTTTTTTTTTTACACAAATAAAAATAAAAATATTTAAAATAAATTCCCTAACAGCCCTCACACCTGCCACAGCACCTAGACACACACAGCACCCCCAGAGACACACACAGCAACTGCCAGACACAGCACCCCAGACACACACAGCACCAGACACAGCACCCTCAGACACACACATCCCCCCCAGACACACACAGCGCACCCAGACACACACAGCACCCAGACACACACAGCACCCCCAGACACACACAGCACCCCCCAGACACCCACAGCACCCAGACACACACAGCGCACTCAGACACACACATCACCCCCAGACACACACAGCACACTCAGACACACACAGCGCACCCAGACACACACAGCACCCAGACACACACAGCGCCCCCAGACACACACAGCACCAGCAGACACAGCACTCCCAGACACACACAGCACAGCACCCCCACACACACAGCACCCAGACACACACACAGAATCTCCCAGACACACACTGAAAGCACCCCCAGACACACACAGCAACTCCCAGACACACACAGCACAGCACCCACAGACACACACAGCACCCAGACACACACAGCACCCCCAGACACAGCACCCAGACACACACAGCACCCCCAGACACACACACAGCACCCCCAGACACACACACAACACCCTCAGATGCAGACAGCACCCTCAGACAGACAGCACCCTCAGACAGACAGCACCCTCACTCCCACACATATACAGCACACACACACACACACACATATATATATATATATATATATATATTATATAAAATAACCCTCAGTGAGTTAACAGACAAAGAAAATTAGAAACCTAGAATGTGACAGCAGATTAAAAACACCCTCACACACAGCACCCCTCTTACACAAACATACTGCGCACCTCACACATTCAATACGTCCAAATATATTCTAAATATATATATACACACACTCACTACTGCACCCCACCCACTGCACCACTACACACATTACACTCCAGATACACGCTAGATCCCTTACCCTATATGCACTCTTAATCCTCTACACATACACACACACACAATCTTCTATACACACTCTGGGTCCTTTACACACACGCTGCACCACCTACACACACACTACATTCCTTGTAAGCAAACACATACAACATTCTCTAAACACACCCTCTCTACAACCCCTACACACACTACGTAACCTATACACACACACTACTTCCCCTATAACACTATGCCCCTATACACGCACTCTCTACAGCCCCTAGCCACACATATTACACCACAAAATTGACCTATTTACACAATACCACACCACACCACACTCTACACACACAGGCAATCCCACAAGCATGCGCCAAACACATGCCCCATACACTTTCCTTGCCCTTTTATCCTCTGGTATCCCACTTGTGGAGACACCAGAAACAATTTAAAAGCAAACAAAGCGCAATCATGTTATTACATTTGCTTGCGCTGCGCAGAACAAATACAGGGCCTTTTTCTAATGCTAGAGCTCTTCAGCGGGGCTCTGCGCATTGAACCAACATGCTCACTTTCAGAAGGGGCGTACTTGTCATTAGTGATGACAAAACACACCCTTTCTGGCCCCGCCCCCTTCTTGGGGGGCCGCTCTAATTGAAAAATGCCCGGGCCTAATTTTTTTCCCAGTCCGGCCCTGCCTAATATTATTAATGTTTCTTTAATATGTTTTGTTACAGTGGAACATCTCATCTTAAAAATTGCATGAGATTTTCTGGGGTAGATTTGTAACCTCCATATCCCCGTATTCACCACATGATTATCTGCCTGTTGGTCATTATCTTAGGAGATCTACCTACCTATCTACCTAGCTGTCTATCTACAAATTTAGGGTATGTCATGGATAAATATTCCTTTGTCACACCAGTTACTAAGGATTACTACTCCTAGGGTTCCAAGTCAGACACATGGCTGAGCTCTGTCCCTGCTCCCTGCCTAGCAGTGCCCATACTGGAAAGTAAATACCATTGGGCGCTGCAGTACCTCTCTTTTCCTCTAGGAGTGGATTTTCTCTTCCATCCCAATCGTGCAGGTGGCGCTGTAGTGCTGTCTCCTCCCTCTGAATGCTCCCGGAAGGCAGTGTGCGGCGGTGAGACTGTGCCCAGTGTGCCCCATGTTCGGCTATCTGGCAGCGGCTATTGTGTGCGCAGCGGCCGTGCTGATCGTGCTCCTGGGCCCGGCCTCGTTTCCCAGTGTACCCGGCCTGATCTCCCTGTTTGCGGGCAGTGAGTGCGGGGTGTCCGGGGGCAGGGTGCTCGGCCAGAAGGAGCTGTCAGAGCACAATGGGGGGCCGGGCAGCCCGGGCTTATACCTGGCTGTGCTGGGGCTGGTGTTTGATGTGAAGAAGGGGAGCAAGCACTATGGCCCGGGGGGGTCCTACAGCTTCTTTGCAGGTACGCCCCTGGTAGGGGACAGTCATTGGGTGGGTGGGGGGATGCCATACACCTGCACTCATACATGGCACTGGGCAGACATACTTATTATCCTCAGCCAGCCATAGCAGCTGCAATGCAAGCCATTAGTGGCAAAGGACAAGTAGGTGCACAATGCAAACCAAATAACATCATACAATAATACAATATCATTTTATTCGTCTGCATATACCATACACATCTAATAATAATATTTTCCTTTCAAATCACTTTTACATTTATATTTTGGCCCAAGTGCACATTACAGAATATTGACCAACAAGGTTATTCGCTAAAGTGAAAATTCTAAGTGAATTTCACATTTGAAGCCATAGTAGTAGTAGAATTGAAAACATATATAGTTTGGTTAATTTTTTTTTCCAGTTCAGTTTTTTTTAAATTCACTCTGATGTCTCACTTTGTACGTACCTTGCATGTATATTCTTCTTTTTCAAAATTAAATTCAGAATTGCCTCTCCCTCCTTCCCGTTGTATTCCAGCTGTGCCAAAGAACATGCACAGGTAAGGCTCCTGCCTGATTCTAACTGGAACTCAGACTTTCCTCTGAACCTTTTTATAGTGGGGTGCTACTAAGTTTACTAAATTAACTCAACAGCACACAGTGCCCTAGAGGATAATTGTGATTTGGCTAGTTGGGTGCCCTGATGGGCAATGTAGTCATCAGCATTTGCACTACCAAAGGTTAGACATCAATGGCAAAAAGGAATGGAAAGTATAGGGGGAAAAAACGTTTTATGATTACGTTTTTTTTAACGGTAATTAAAATGTATATTTTCATGGTTTAAATCACATGCATGTTTTTTTTAATAACTGTTCATTTTGAATATATTATCAAGGGAAAGATGCCTCTAGAGCCTACGTGACTGGTGATTTTACAGAGAAAGGTCTTGTGGATGACCTGTCTGAACTTTCTCCTTTGGGAATGCTTCACCTGAACAACTGGCTTTCATTCTATCGGCAGAATTATGATTTTGTTGGTATGGTATAAATCCCATTCACCTTTTAATTATTTTCACTCCATTTTTCTTGCTTGGGCTTTTTAAATTGCTATATTTTACCAAATCTAGTGTGTTACTGGTGCTAAGTAACACTCTACAAAGCACATTTTCTTAGTCTTTCATTATACATGCATGGATCCTTCTCGTTAGTCTTATCATGCGTAGATATGTGTATGGATATAATATATGCTGTATGTAATGTGTTCATTTAACCACTTGCAAATGACTATTAAAAACATGGCCTTTGAAGGATATGTATGCAACCTGAAAAATGTAAGGGGTTGTGTATCAAAAGTGTCACTTTCGCATACGTTTCTTGGAAATTTTGATTCGATTTCTTGGGTATAACAAGAGTGATTGGGTTACAGTACCTGACAAACAGTGTAAGACTCAAATCTATAGATGATGTTTCATGGTCCCAACCCTCTGACCTTATACATCACCTTAGGGGGAGGTGATTACAACACTTTAATAGGGATAAAGCATAAACATCACATGTTGTGGCCCCTAACTCAGTTTAGACACCTATGCCTAGACTACCTAAAATGGTGCTGCCCCAGTTATACCAATTTCTGATGTCTGGGTAGCAATAACCCCCACAAAGCTTTAAGGATCTATGGAAAGACAATTCAAGGATGAATAGTTGACCAATATCAATGACTCTGTATGAGGAAAGTTCAGTATCTGCATGCAGAGGGAGGAGACACTGAATGTTTGGATGCATTTTAGGCAGCCATGACCCAGGAAGGATCTCTAACAGCTATCTGAGGTATGGCCAGTGAAGTTATCACTAGGCTGTAATGTAAACACTGCATTTTCTCTGAAAAGACAGTGTTTACAGCAAAAAGCCTGAAGGTAATGATTCTACTCACCAGAACAAATTCAATAAGCTCTAGTTATTCTGATGACTATAGTGTCCCTTTAATTTAAAAATTTGCTTTGGACTAAATAGAATTTTGCAAACATTTACTACAAGTGTCATTTGAATTCTGTTCTGTTCAGCATAATTTATATTTGTATATTTTTTCGAAATTAGCAGTTACTGAAGAAATGTTTGTACAAAGGTGCATATGGACATAATATGCAGATGTTTGATTTATTTTCAGGAAAACTCGTAGGAAGATTTTATGATAAAAAAGGACAGCCCACAAAAGCCTTAGAGGATGCTTTGGCAGTAATTGACATTGGGTTGAAGCTTAAAGAGCAAAGAATAGAAGAGAATAAGCAATTTCCACCCTGCAATGTAGAATCGAGCTCTGGGATCAGTAGAGTGTGGTGTTCCAATCGCAGGTAACAATCCCTGAACCCAATAAGCAAATTCCCATGAAACAGGTTGTTCACTTAAGGGTGAAATCTCAGAAATTATTTTTTTCATTTATTTTTTATTTTTGCTGTGCAAAAAAATATAACGGTATGCGTGTGGTACCCCGACGGCATTCCACACGCTGCATTTCAACATTATTAACATTGGGGTATTCGTGGGTATATGCACATTTTTAAATTGTTATAATAAAAGTGATCATAGTGAAATCATACGGCTTACTTGTTACATATGCCAGGCGTGTCTATGTGGTTTTGTCATTATGGTAAGTGTGATATTCATTGATTAACGATGCTGAAACAACTAAGCTAGTGTATAATTTGTGTAGGCATTGTAATCAGGCTGATTGAGTTATTAGAGGCTAAACATCATGCAGTATAAACTTCAATGAGCTACATTAGCTAACAAGTATGATGCAGTCATATACTTAAAGATTGTGTTCAAGTTAGGTTCCTGAACTAGGCTTGCTGATGATTTAAATGTCCCATGAGGTTCCCTCTTAGATCATGACACAGTTGTAAAGCAGAATTATAATTTGGGTCATCCTTCTGTGCTATGTGTTTGAGAGGGGCACATACATTTAAGAGGAAGTCCCGGCTCTTGGTCTGTTATCAGCCGACTCCCGTCACGGGTATCCCGCTGTTGGGCAACTTATTGAGGTGCTTCAAGCCTCCAGGCTCCGGTCCCGTCTCGTGGGGCCAGACGGTCCCCCGAGTGCTGAACACCAGAAAAACCGGAGACCCTCGACGAGGTGTAGATGCACGTCTCACGCGTGACCAGCTGTGGTTATGCTGCTGTTTATGCCGGGGTGATTGTGGGGGCCTGGTGCGCCTTCTCCGTGGGTTCCTCTTGTCTGTAGGGGCCACGGGTGTTTTCCTTGTGTGTGACATGTGCCGTTTAGGTAAGGGGCCGTTTGCTTGTGGTGGGGCTTGTTGCAGTGCCCGCCTCTCCATCTTATGCCAGAATGCCGCCAGGATAGCCTCCAGCTTCTTCTGGAGCGTGATCTCCATGTTGTGAGCTTGATTGCGAGGGAGGTACGAGGTGTCCGCCATTAGGAGCGATTTGGTAGTAAAGTTAGTCGCTTGTCTGCCGTCCTTCACCTCTCCCTTTCCCCTGCTGGTTATAGCTCTCTTGGGTTGGACCGTGTTCACCCCCAACGGTCCCAGGGGGGGTAACGGGTTGCCTGTCCCGCCATTGCAGTTGCTGGGTAGCCCCTGAGCGGGAGAGCAGCCGCCTCCCCCGCCCTGTGCACACAAGGCTGCATGTTGTCGCAAGTGTGGCTGCTCGGCTTTTACCGGGTCACCGACCCCTACTACCAGGCCCAGCAGTGTCGGGCTTCGGTATGGGCTCAAGGTGGTCCCTGAATCAGGCTGAATGAGGCCGTGTTTTGTCTTCAATGACAGGATTGTGGAGGAGCTCCTGTGAAAAACGTCTGTCCTCAATGACAGGTAGGCCCTGCCCCCTTCTTAGAAATTATTGACTAAAATTCGTTAGAAAACATAGCTGACTTGGAAATATTTTCAGCTTGCCTATTTTGTACTAAAATTTGAAATTTACTTTGAATTCCAGATAATTCACACTTTAGTGAATAACTCTGAGTATTTCAGCAAGACATATTGCTATTCTATGGTACATGGCTGCACTATATTCTGATGGCCTCTATCTCTGCCCACTAAGTACAAGGTCTTCATGATCAATGATGATATAATGGTTAACAGAAGAAAGGACAAAGACATTTACATCTACACTATTACACTATTAAAGGAACACTCCAATGCCATAATCAATACATCCCCCTGTAGTGGTTACTATTCCAAGAGTGTCCTGGCAAGCTTTTAGTAACTGGGTTGGCTGGGTGGCGCTAAAATGGTTTGACTACTTACACTCCTGGCACCATCACCTTTACTGGTTGCGCTGCTTTGTATTTTCTTTTAAAGGATGCAATGTCTTATAGGAAAAAGTTGTATTACAGCAGTATTTTAAGACGTTAACTGTAATTACCCTGTGTTTATTAAGTGATCGTTAGTTTGTTTAGCCGTCTAGACATATTTTGATGCAACAGTAGCTCAAATAATTACCATACTGTTAATAGAGACAGTGTAATATTTTTAATGGGGGGAAAAAAACACAATTGTTTTTGTTGTAGAGGAGAAGTGGCCAAATGGGAGATCCCTAACGGTGAAAGAACTACAACTCTTGTGGAACATTGCAAGCTTTCCTGTTTTTTATAACTGGAGATCTACCCTCTGGCTACACCTGCCTTTAGAAGTTATATTTACAGTGTTATTTATCAATATAATAAATGGTCGTACTCCTAGGCCTTAATCCAAGAAATAAAACTTAACTTTTATTTTATAGCTTAAAAATAAATCGACATTTCAGCTCCATCCAGGAGCTGTCATCAGGATGACAAAAGAAGTGTTATTTATGTGTATATGCTTCTTGCTTGTTTTGTCTCCTCAGTGGTGGCATACACAGGGACTGGGTAGGGGTGCCCAGGAAGATGTATCTAGCTGGCTCAGATGGTTATCGGTGTGTCTGTGTCAGGACATCAGGGCCTCCAACTGAGCACCCCGACTCTACAGAACACCGTGACAGAGGAGATCTGGACAATCCCTTACTCAAGGAGTACGAAGAGTGTAACCCTCTTTTTGATTGGTGTTTACTAAAAGAATAAAGCACAAACTCAAAAGTACTGGTACACATCATCTACACATCACAACCTTCACCTTGACCCTGTGGGTTGAAGTTTCATTTTTGTACATTATTGCGAGGATATTCCTCCAGTCCCATGTACTTTATTTTATTTATGGTTATAATTTTTTTTTAATTTCTTTTACTTATAATATCATAGTTGAAAGCAAACTTTCTTTCTGACTAAGTTAATGAATTGCAGACATGCATTAATACAACAAAGAGCATAAATGTTGAAACCACATAACCATTTATGTAAACTGGCGAAACAGAGTAACTCCGATTTAAAGATTAAGTGGGAATATCAAAAATTGAGGGGAGACAATAATGATATAGGGCATACGTATGATTTACACTTTACATAAAACTATAACAATTAAAGATACAATAAAATGTTAGCTTTCTAGTGGCCATACCAAATGTGTCCCATGCCCTTCTGTTCTGTTGTCGGATTATAGAAATGGTGTGTGTATTACAGACTTTACATCAATGAAATACTACAGTAATGGGCAAAATGTGTAAGTGTCTACAACAATGCTTCCTTTTTTTGTTTAAATTGCTAGTTAGGGGTCAGATATAATGAAGTCTGACATATTGATATGTCATATCGCTGTAGTTATGTAGGTTTATTTAATACGGTAACTTGAAATAACAGAGGTCTGGGAACAAAGACATTATCCAATGCAGATTTTATTAGGACACAGACGTTGGCAACATTTTGGCTCCATACAAGAGCCTCTCTCAAGCTAACCAATTCCCCACGAAGTGACGTGGATGTGTGTGTGCGTGTATATATAGATGTGTGTGTGTGTATACAATCAATATGCTAATAATTTCCCACACATGTTTTCTTGCTCCAAAAACACTGTTACAAGAGGTGGAGGTGATGTCATCAAATCACAATACTAACGATTTGCCATATTACATATTATAAATAATATCAAGAATCTTTAGAAATATATCCTTATGGCATACTAGTTTTCCTGGCACTATAGTGCCCTGTGCGGGGAGCTCTCCTCCTTCATAGCGACGTCATCGGCTGAATGCGCATGCCGAGCAGGAGCCGCCTGCGCGTTCAGCCAGTTCATAGGAAAGCATTTATAATGCTTTCCTATGGACGCTGGCGTCTTTTCACTGTGATTTTTACAGTGAGAAACACGCAAGCGCCTCTAGCGGCTGTCAATGAGACAGCCACTAGAGGCTGGATTGACCATATTATAAACATAGCAGTTTCTCTGAAACTGCTATGTTTATAAAAAAAAAAAAAAGGGTTAACCCTAGCTGGACCTGGCACCCAGAACACTTCATTAAGCTGAAGTGGTCTGGGTGCCTATAGTTGTCCTTTAAGGTAGCCACATTGCCTAAATCTATCTGCCAGGTCAGTTATTTTCGCATCATTATACAATACACACCAATATCTACAAAAATATATATACAAAATAGTGTAATACAGTCTGGTTTATATCTATTCAATGTAATTAAATGTTGCGCTCACAAACATTTATTGATAGAAGGCCTTAAGAAATCCTCCAAATATGTAAAGGCACCCTTTTCTCTTCTTTGTTCTCACATCCAGTGGCGGAACTACAGGGGTCGCGGGCCCGTCACTTCAGGGGGGGGGGGCGGTCACCCTGCGGATCCCTGTGACCGCAGGTCCCGCCAGGTGAGTAATGTGGCCCCAACCGGCGCGGTGTAACCGCTGGGGCCCATCGGGTGGCCATGCTGTTAGGGCCACCCAATGCTATGTAATTTCACGGGGCCCGGTCAGCACTTAAACAGCGCGACCGGGCCCCCTCTGATGATATCAGAGGCTGGGAGGAAGTGACTGCACCGGTCACTTCCTCCCAGCAACTACTGGGAGCCGCCTGGGAGGAAGGTGAGGGAGTCAGAATGGGAACTCTGACTCCCATCAGCCTGAGCCACCACTGGACTCCAGGGAAAGGTGTGTGTGTGTGTATGTCTGAACGTCAGTGTGTGTGTATGTATGTGTCTGTGTGTGTGTCTACATGTGTATCTGTTTGCATGTGTGGGGGGGAGGGGTAACGTATGGAAGGGGGATGATAGACGTGTGGCGTGAGGGGCAATTTTCGCACCGCAGCCCCGTGGTTTCTAGTTACGCCTCTGCTCACATCCAAATTTGGTATATGTGGAAAGATAGAAGTGGACACATAGAGTAGATCCTTAAATGTTTAAAAAGGATACCATTTATTGGTCACACTTACAAGATTTAAAACAATACAGGCATATCACCACATCCACTGGAACTCCTACTTGGAAATTTCAGGGTACTGCAGCAGCCTTCGAGTTAAAAACAGTCCTACGGGTTTCATCCATTAACAGGTACTTCCTCAGGGACAATCAAAAAAGTCAGTATACAGTCATCCACCATACAAACCCACAGTACATCCCCCTGTTTAAATATCCCGCTAAGACCTCCCCCCTCCCAGGCACCATCAGCCAATCCCAGGGCTGATCCTCTGGTCCTTCAGCTTTTCTCAGTAATGCCTTTCATGCTGTGATTCCGTCCCGCCCAGTAATGTGGACGTATGTGTTCCGACTTCTGTGACGCGTTCTTTCCGTGACGCGTGCGTTCCATTCATGATGACGCATGCGTCCCACTCTCCGCTGCGTGTGTTCCAAATCATACAGTGAGATCCGAAGATTATGTAACTTAAAAGTCCATATACAAATATAACAAAAGCAAAAGGAATATGTGTCAATAACAGTTAGAAACACAGTTGCACACTTAATAGGGGCTGGTAAGAAAAGGGGAAGTCAGAAGTTAGTGGGAGATATATCATATCAAATCTGGATAAAACCCAATGGATATAAATGGGATCAAAAAAATAAAGAAAAATGTGCTAAAATATATGAAGAAATTATAACAAAAATAATAATAAACCGGGGGGCGGAGCTAGCCAGCGAATAAGGTAGACACACATGCGTCTGGTTAAACTGCCCAATAACCACCCAAAAGATGGCCAGACACTATGGGGAAGAAGACTAAACTAAGGAGAATCAATTTGGCCTCCTCTTCCCAAGATATCAGCACTTTGCTCAGGGTGACTCCACAACCGCGGCCTACCAAGATGGCGCCTGCGAGGGGGGACTCCGACTGTGCTTCGGAAGAGAGTGCAACAGAAGATGTCTCACACACCAACATGCAAGGTATAACAAGTGCTAACCTTGATCCTCAGCACCCACCTGAGGTGCGACGGGCAAGACATACCTTTAGCTTTGAACAAACGCCAGCGAGCAAAGCTGATATTCAAAACCTGCTAAGGGAAATGAAAACCCTATTTGCTGCAGACATAGCATTGGTTCAGAAGGATTTGGGGGTAATAACAGCTTGACTGCAATCGCTGGAAGACTGGTGACACTGTGTAATGCTGGCAGGATGCTAAGCATTCCGAGTTGGACAAGCTGAAACAAGCAAATTTCCTCATGGAGGGCAGAATTGCAGCGCTTGAAGACATAGAAACATAGAATGTGACAGCAGATAAGAACCATTCGGCCCATCTAGTCTGCCCAATTTTCAAAATAATTTCATTAGTCCGTAGCCTTATCTTATAGTTAGGATAGCCTTATGCCTATCCCACGCATGCTTAAACTCCTTTACTGTGTTAACCTCTACCACTTCAGCTGGAAGGCTATTCCATGCATCCACTACCCTCTCAGTAAAGTAATACTTCCTGATATTATTTTTAAACCTTTGTCCTTCTAATTTAAGACTATGTCCTCTTGTTGTGGTAGTTTTTCTTCTTTTAAATATAGTCTCCTCCTTTACTGTGTTGATTCCCTTTATATATTTAAATGTTTCTATCATATCCCCCCTGTCTCGTCTTTCCTCCAAGCTATACATGTTAAGATCCTTTAACCTTTCCTGGTAAGTTTTATCCTGCAATCCATGAACCAGTTTAGTAGCCCTTCTCTGAACCTCTCTAAGGTATCAATATCCTTCTGAAGATACGGTCTCCAGTACTGTGTACAATACTCCAAGTGAGGTCTCACCAGTGTTCTGTACAATGGCATGAGCACTTCCTCTTTCTACTGCTAATACCTCTCCCTATACAACCAAGTATTCTGCTAGCATTTCCTGCTGCTCTATTACATTGTCTGCCTACCTTTAAGTCATCAGAAATAATCACCCCTAAATCCCTTTCCTCATATGTTGAGGTTAGGACTCTATCAAATATTCTGTACTCTGCCCTTGGGTTTTTACGCCCAAGATGCATTATCTTGCACTTATCCACATTAAATGTCAGTTGCCACAATTCTGACCATTTTTCTAGTTTACCTAAATCATTTGCCATTTGGCTTATCCCTCCTGGAACATCAACCCTGTTACATATCTTAGTATCATCAGCAAAAAGACATACCTTACCATCAAGACCTTCTGCAATATCACTAATAAAAATATTAAACAGAATGGGTCCAAGTACAGATCCCTGAGGTACCCCACTGGTGACAAGTCCAAGCTTCGAATATATTCCATTAACTACAACCCTCTGTTGCCTGTCACTCAGCCACTGCCTTACCCATTCAACAATATTGGAATCCAAACTTAAAGATTGCAGTTTATTGATAAGCCTTTTATGTGCAACAGTGTCAAAAGCCTTACTGAAATCTAGGTAAGCAATGTCTACTGCACCACCCTGATCTATAATTTTAGTTACCCAATCAAAAAAATCAATAAGATTAGTTTGGCATGATCTCCCTGAAGTAAACCCATGTTGTCTCTGATCTTGAAATCCATGTGTTTTTAGATGTTCATTAATCCTATCCTTTAACATGGTTTCCATCACTTTCCCCACTACTGAAGTAAGGCTTACTGGCCTATAGTTGCCCGACTCCTCCCTATTACCTTTCTTGTAAATGGGCACAACATTCGCTAACTTCCAATCTTCTGGGACTACTCCTGTTAACAATGATTGGTTAAATAAATTTGTTAATGGTTTTGCTAGTACACCACTAAGCTCTTTTAATAGCTTTGGGTGTGTTCCATCAGGTCCCATTGACTTATTTGACTTTACTTTTGCCAGTTAAAATAGAACCTCTTCCTCGGTAAACAAACGTGTAATAAATGACTCATTTATACTTTTTCTCAACTGAGGTCCCTTTCCTTCATTTTCATCTGTAAATACAGAACAAAAATATTCATTGAGGCAGTCAGCTAGACCTTTATCCTCTTCTACATACCTTCCTTCTTTTGTTTTTAATCTAACTAATCCTTGTTTTACTTTTCTTTTCTCATTTATGTATCTAAAAAATGTTTTATCCCCCTTTTTTACTGACTGTGCTATTTTCTCTTCTGTGTGTGATTTGGAAGCTCTTATAACTTGCTTAGCCTCTTTATGCCTAATCTTATAGATCA